TGTGTGAGAGAGAGAGAGAGAGTGTGTGTGTGTGTGTGTGTGTGTGTGTGTTTGAGTGTTTGTGTCAGTGTATGTATGAGTATGTGTGTTTGTGTGTGTGTGTTTGTGTGTATGAGTGTGCGTGTTTGTGTGTGTATGAATGTGTATGTGTACGTGCGTGTGTATATATGTGTGTGTATATGTATGTGTGTGTGCGTTTGTGTGTGTATGTGTGTGTGTGTGTGTACGTTTGTGTGCGTATGTGTGTGCGCGTGTGTGTGTGTTTTTCGTGTGTGTCACAGTGTCGTTGTGCTGATCCTTATCTTTCTCAACATATGGCCCTTTTTCCACAGCTTCTTGTCGGAGTGGAATCTATTCAGCTCTTTATCGCCTTATTCTGTGTTCGGCATGCCAGAGCCGAATGGGGATGATTTCCCCACGGGAAAAGGTAATAACGACACTGTACATAGATGTGATGTCTCATTATAGTTTAGATACACATGGAGAGTCAGGCACGACAACCACACACTGAAATCAGCAACCGACCATGTTGGATGTTTATGACACTACTGAATCATGACTTTTTATTGGTCATCCCTCGAAGGGTGCTAAATTAATGAATTCGAACAAGGAGACGTAACTACCGAAATTAACGACAGTGAACCAAACACAGTTATTGCTCATGCAACAGATATTACATAAATATATTACAATAGATCTATCAGTTTCTTTAGCACTGCAAATAGATCCCTCAATAGTATGATCTGTCGTTAGGTCTTTTTTTGTGTAAGTGTTTTACGGCTCTCGCAACTTCCTAAGGTCATACTATGAGCGCGAGGTACACATTAAACGTTTTTCTATGGGTAAGAAATTTTGAATTTTGTCCGGGTGGCATCCGAAGCCTACTCTTATCGATTTTAGACCACCAAAGAATCTTTAACGTGCGTGACTTGCACACGGGACCTCTGATATTTTTCTCCCTTGTCCGAAAAGGCTATGTGTAGATATTATCCTACCAGACGATCAGGGGTGTGGCTGAAAGACAGCAGTAAGGAGCCAAGGAGTAGCAATACAAAGGCTGCAGAAAGAATCCGGAGCCCAGAGGAGGGGGCAAAGGAGGTGCGGGGGTGGGGGTAGGAAGTGGAGACGAAAGCAGACGACAGAACGCTGTTTGTACTCTGGAGGAATCATCTCTGTCTCAGAGGTTGACGTGTAGTGACCCTCCATCTTTCACCATTGAGAGCTGCCGTTGCACGACATTTTGCCATATCCAGTCCCGTCCATGTTCTTACGTTGTCCATCTTTTTTTTGCCTTCCTCTGGCTCTCCTGCCCCACATCTTTCCTTCAAGCACCTCTATCAGAATGGTCTCGTGTCGTTTTAAACGGCCATAGTACTGTATTTTTCTACATTTTACTATGCTCAGCAGGGTCTGTCTTGTGTGTAGAATCTGAAACAACTCTTTGTCTTTTTGTGTGTGTGTGTTTTTTTCAACTTATTCTGGCCATTTTACGGTAGCACCACATCTCAATCGCATTTATTCTGTTTTCTTCTTTCCTTGTTAAAGTCCAGGTCTCTGCGCCATATAGAAATATGGTTAAGATGTAGCATTCCAGCATGTTCTTTCTTAAAGTGAGAAATAGTTGCATGGATTTAAATACATGTAGTATCCTTAGCAGTGCATATAGATCCCTCAATAGGATGATCTGTCGTTATGTCTGTAATTTGGTTTGAAACTTTTGACCCAACAGCTGCGAAATAAACGACCTTGTCAATTGTATTAAACTGATCTAAATTGTGTCAATAGGGGAGTAAAACATGAAAACAAAACAGATATAGTTTCCCCATGAGCGGGACTTTGCGCCATACAAATGTCATTTATTTTTATAATTACTGTTGTTATAATACAAATAATGATAATAATGATAATAACAATAATATAACAATAAATAAATAATGATAATAATAATAATAATGATGATGATGATGATGATTATCATTATTATGATAGATAATGATGATAATGATGATGATGAGATGATGATGATGATGATGATGATGATGATGATGATGGTGATGATGATGATGATGATGATGATGATGATGATGATGATGATGATGATGATAATATTCTGTTATCCCCCCCCCTCCCCCACAGACGGGGAAGAGTGCGGGCTGTGGATCCCCGAGAGACTTGCCCGCTACATCTACTGTGGCTTTGTGGTGTACGAGGACACGGGCTTCCGCCCCGTGATGAGCATCTACACCACCAAGCGCTCGTGCGAGCAGACCGTCAGCCGCTTCGTGCTGGACAAGGCCGCGCTTCTGAGGAGGCCGGCGAGACACAAGCTGCCGGACTGTGCCACGCAGTGTGCCACGCCGCACGAGACGTGAGTGCCACGCTATATGTGCCACGCCACGCCACGCCACGCCACGCCACGCCACGCCACGCCGTTGCTGTTCTCTGCTCTTTGTTTTAGTACCACGCCACGCGTTGCTGTTGCTATTCTCTATTGTTTGAGTTTTAGTAATACGGGGTGCCCACTACTGCTGGTTCGGGCCGATCGCCTGACTCGGTCGCCTGAAACTGAAGACAAACACGTTTGTTTTTGACGCAACCGAGGTGGGCGGTCGGCTCGATTGGCCGATCCCATCCGTAGTTGGCTTTTCATAAGTATAGGTGAGGTACATACGGCGGAGAGAAGTTGACGCCACGCCACGCTTGTTCCTTCCTCAGCCACCTTCCCCAATCTTGGCACATCTATGTCCTTGGTGGTTGCCTCATCCTTAATTGTGCCTCTCTAACTTCTAGTTGGTCCGCCTCTATGTATTTTCCAGTTGGTCAACTATACCATGTTGCATAAGACAATATTGTCTTCGGCGTTCTCAAAACATGTCCTAAATATCTCCATCTTCTACTTTTTATGGCCTTTTTATCATCATCTTCCTTTCCAGTTCTTTCAAACCCTTCATCATTTGTAATAAATTTGTTCCATTTTATTATCATTATGAAGCTGGCAACAGCGCTTAAAAACTATTTCGTGGTCAAATATTACCGTTCCTTGATAAGAGAAAAAGTATTTTTTAAAAACGTTCTCACTGTTTTGGAATGGTTGCTAATTCGGAGGTTCTTTGGTTTCTAACTTTTATCAATGGACAGTACGCGTCATTGCACATTTCATAACTGGTAAAAATTTAAAATGGATACAAACCGAGTTGACAGCATATCATGTAGTCTTTAACATTTTTGCGTATTACCTTATCTCCCTTTTTTCCCCAAAACATTATGTCTTCCCTTTCTTCTGTCCACATCAACATGTACTCATTTTCTTATATCTCACTTATGTCTTCCCTTTCTTCTTTCCTCAAAATCATGTCTCCACTTTCTTTTTTCCATATCATCATGCCTTCCTTTTCTTTTTGTCCACATCCCCATATCTTCTCATCCCTTTTTGACACCACATTGCCATGTACTCATTAACCTGTATCTCGCCAATAACCCATGATGGCCCAGCGTGTACGAGGCTCGGTGACTGAACGAGACGAACCTTGTGTTCCTGGTGTCTGACGCCAGCTGTCGCATCATCGTGTCTTCATTATCTTCTTTCCACACCATCATACCTTCTCTTTCTTTATCTCTACGTCATCATGTCTTCCCTTTTTTCTTTCCACATCACCATGTCGTTACATTCTTCTTTCCACATCTCCATATCTTCTCTTATTTCTTTCGGGATCATCATACCTTCTGTTTCTTCTTTCCACATCATCATACCCTCCCTTTCTTTCTTTCCACATCACCATGTCTTCTCTTATTTCTTTCAGCAGCATCATACCGTCTGTTTTTTTCTTTCCACATCATCATACCTTCCTTTTCTTCTTTCATCATCATCATGTTATCCCTGTCTTCTTTCGACACCACATTGCCATGTACTCATTAACCTATATCTCCCCAATAACCCACGATACCCCAGCGTGTACGAGGCTCGGTGGCTAACAAGACGAACCTTGTGTTCCTGGTGTCTGACGCCAGCTGTCACATCATCGTGTCTTCGTTATATTCTTTTCACATCATCATGTCTTCCCTTTCTTCTTTCCACATCTGTATGTCTTCCCTTTTCTATTTCTTCATCATTATGTCCTCACTTTCTTTTTTTCCACATCACCATGTCTTCCCTTTTTTCTTTCCATATCACCATATCTTCTCATTCTTCTTTCCACATCATCATGCCTTCCCTTTCTTCTTTGTGGGTTGTTGGTGGGTGCTCTGGTGTGGTTTACTTCTTCTTTCGTATCAAACATCTATCGTCCTAATCTCTCTTTTTTCTTTTTCTTTTTGTTTCTCTCTTGTAACACCTCTAATGCACTTGCGAGCGCTGTAAAACCTCTTCTAGAGCTAGCTTTCTTCTTTGCAAACCATCATGTCTTCCCTTTCTTCTTTCCACATCAGTATGTCTTCCCTTTTCTATTTCTTCATCATTATGTCCTCACTTTCTTTTTTTCCACATCATCATGTCTTCCCTTTTTTCTTTCCACATCACCATATCTTCTCATTCTTCTTTCCACATCATCATGCCTTCCCTTTCTTCTTTGTGGGTTGTTGGTGGGTGCTCTGGTGTGGTTTACTTCTTCTTTCTTATCAAACATCTATCGTCCTTATCTCTCCTTTTTCTTTTTCATTTTGTTTCTCTCTTGTAACACCTCTAATGCACTTGCGAGCGCTGTAAACCCTCTTCTAGAGCTAGCTTTCTTCTTTACAAACCATCATGTTTTCCCTTTATTCTTTCGGTATCACCGTATCTTCACATTCTTCTTTCCTAAACCACGATACCCCAGTGTGTACGAGGCTCGGTGGCTGAACGAGACGAACCTTGTGTTCCTGGTGTCTGACGCCAGCTGCTACTGCAATAGCACGCACAACGACACAGAGGAGATGATGGACCTCGAAAGTCCGTACACGTTCAAGGTCACGCCGAAAGAGCGTACCTATATCCTTTTGCCTGAGTATTTTCAATCCCCAGTTGTTAATAGGTCGCTTTTAAGCACAAGTAGGCTATCCCTAAAAATGCTGTTTCGAGAAAATCGAAGTAAAGTTTTCGCACCTTGTTCAGTTTCTTTAAAGGACAAGGAGAGTTTTCTCTATAATCAAACAAATATACACACCACTGAAACCAAACCTGTCCTATAGGTAGGGCAATGCCCACTTTTGGTGTAGATCAACATTTTTGGGAAGTTTCGATATCTGGGTTAGCCCACTTGTCCTTAAAAGCGACCAATTATAGGTTTTATCTTTTTGTGAGGTTTTTTCTTTCTGTGACGCACCGTTAGTTAGACACAGGGTATGTCGAAGATGGGGACCTTGGTACTTGAGTGAGGGCAATGAGGGCATTGCCGACTGACATTAGGTGTGTGGCCGAGGGGTATGAGTAAAGAGGGGGAAAAGGGATAGAAGGTAGGGACAATATACAAACACATACAAACACACACACACACACACACACACACACACACACACACACACACACACACACACACACACACACACACACACACACACACACGCATCCACACCACACATACACACACATATACATACATACACACACATACAAACACATACACACACACCCATACATAATTAAAGATACATACTACATACAAACATATGCACACACAGATACATACATAAAAACATAATATTAGATCTACACCAATGTGTGTACGTGTGTGCGTGTGTGAGTATGTGTGTATGTGTGTGTGCACATGTGTGTGAGTATGTGTGTGTGTATGTGTGTATGTGTGTGTATGTGTGTATGTATGTGTGTGTATGTGTGTATGTATGTGTGTATGTAGGTATGTGTGTATGTGTCTGTGCACATGTGTGTGAGTGTGTGTGTGTGTGTGTGTGTGTGTGTGTGTGTGTGTGTGTGTGTGTGTGCACGTGGTGAAACACCAAACCAATGTGCCAGGATCTAGACAATAAGGATGCACCTTATCTTATCTTGTCTTATCTTATCTTATCTTATCACGTCTTGTCTCGTTTTCTCTTATCTATCTTATCTTATCTTATCGTATCTTATCTTTCACAACCATGCCAATGCTATTCGCCACTGCGATTGCTACGAGTGTTTTCTCTATTATTGTGTCTCCCTTGACTGAGCCTACATAAGGACGACCTGCAGTGCCAGATTCTACTCAATTACTCCAATGAGCTGAAAAGAGTTGACAACACGAGAACGCAAAGCACATTATGCCTTGATTCTTCGAACGAGGTAAAGTACCAATTTTTGGATTATATTTTGGGCTGTATGAAGACGTAGTTGATATACTGTAATTTAGAACGTAATACGTCGTACATGGTTGTTTTGAGACGTGAGTGTATAAGATAGTGATATAGCTTGAAATTAAGACGTCAACTGTTGCTTTTTTAAACTAACTTTTGGGGCGAATATTGCCAGGTCATCCGAGCAAATTATTATGAAATTATTCTGAAAGCTGCTGTACAGACATAATTTTCTCCTTTTTTTTTTTTTTTTTTTTTTTTTTTTTTGGTAAAAGCAATAAGGCAGAAATCGTTGAAGTTTTCGGAAATGTGGTAAAACGTGGGCTCCTGAAAATCAACTATTACAAACTCCATGATCCATCCGATATGCAATTTTGTACCATGCTTATGTGAACATGTTAGAATCAGATTTCCTTTGTGCTGGTCTATGAACTTTAAAATTCGGCGACACCAATGAGACCCATAAGAAGAAGAAGAAGTGAAGACGTCTCCCCAGACTTTTGAAACATTCTGAGTTATGTTCGTTTTCAGCATTTCTTTTGTTGTTGTTGCTCGGAACTTTATATTATTTATTGTGTTTTTTAAACAGTTATTGCTGGCTTTGATTATGCGGACATGGAGCTTTCCTTTCGATACCCAATCCTCAGTAGTTCAAAACAGTATTGTTTTTCTTTTCTGAAGATAAAACATTGCCTACGTGGACAATGCTAACTCCCACATACCTCCTCTTGTTGTTGCTGTTGTTGGTTATTTTGTTCAGATCTTTTTTCATTCTCTGCAACTTAGGATATTACTGAAAAAATACCTGCTTTTTCTTGAAAAACCTGTGCGTGTGTTGTATTTGCAAGCCAAGGATGATTTCCTTTTCCGCTTTCCCAACTAATCTGCAAGCAGATAGACGATTCGATTTACTAGTTGCACCTTCTGCTTCTTTTCCTTTTCTGTGTGGCCACCCATCTCGCACCATTGTATGAATATCCAACGTTATTTCCAGGAGGACAGGCCTTGTTATCTCCCGCCAGCTGATTCTGAAGAGTATCAGTCGTTTGTCTATGACTATGAGTAAAATGGTGACTTTATTTCATTTCTGATTTTCTCTTTCATATTATATTCTTTTTTGTCAAAAACTAGTCACCCCCTCAAGGGTCCTTTTTTCAATTCGTCCGATTTCTTAAATACGAGGCACGTGCATTTTGTTTTCATTAGACCTTGCCAGCTCTATAGCATGTTGAGAGGTATAAATTAGCCCCCCCCCCCCCAACCCCCAAAGACGTAAGTATACTTCTGCACAACACATATTATTCTACATCTTTACTTACTACCTGTAACGAATATGTTATGAGAAGGAGAGTTGTATAAGAGAGCATGCAAACTCGAATGGTTGACAAGTTCAGCGTAGAATCTCGGTGCCTACAAAGTTAGACACGCCTTTTGCTGTGAATTGTTAAAAGAAGCACATTTTAGTAGACGTTCGTTGTTGACAACCTAGGATGAAGTTATTTGAGAATACAAAAGATGAGCTATCGTGAATTAGATCTGATGCCATAGTGATCACGATTTCTGAACACGGTAACTGTAGGTTACAAAACGATTAGTCCATAACATCTGTTCCACAGCAGATGTAGTTACATCTATATGAAAATGTATGTATTTCACTAATTTAATGATGAACATCCATTCCTACTTGCTATACTAATTCGAAATTATAGAAGGCAATTCAATGTTATCGAAATAACGAAACCCAATTTTTTTTAATCTCTGAATGTAAAGTGCATTATAAATACCCCCCCCCCCCCCCCAAAAAAAAAAAACCCCAAAAAAATTTGTTTGAATTAATTAATTAATTAGTTAATTTAATTTAAAAAATGATTAATTTACCAAATCTATAATTTTCAGATTCTTTCCTTTATTTTAAGGGGGGAAAAACCATCTGTAGTGTCCAAAGGTCAGATCTGTTTCCCGTCATTATAGAACACGAGCAATAACTTTCTAATTCATCGTGTTAATATTATGCTATGCTCCATTTGTAGCCCCCTCGATTTCTACAACAGTGTTTTATATTATACAAGTTTGTAAAAAGAAACACGAATCTAAGCAAGGTTTGCTTCATTATGGCAACTTACGTAGAGATTAAACATTTTGATATTGCGGATGTCAAATTTTTCTTTGAGTTTTTCACCTCCAACACCTGATTATTCCAAAGTCACGTATTATTATCTCAAGTTGATATTATCACGCCAAATACATATTCAACATTGAAACTTTTAAAATATTATGTTTATGATACAAACCTGTTAATTCACAGTACAATTCATCTTGTTTTGGTCAACTTTATGTGAGTCTCCTTTTTGCTTTCACATTATCATAAGATAACAGAAACAATTCTCACAGTTTTGTACAAACACTTCATGACTGTCCTAATGCTGTCATTGTCCACTAATGTGTCTTGTGATGTGAAACGTACTATGCTGTTGTCATAAGACTGGCTAGTTTATGCCCTTGACCATCAATGATTTCGTTCCCCCTTCTGGGTCAGGACAAAGTATTGGTGTTTTATTTTAGCATACTCAAAGGTGAATCTCATGAGGTCATTATTAATTCCTACAATACACCATTAATAATTAATGTTATCTAAGAGCAAGCAAAAAAACAAACAAAGAACTATCACAGCGTAATTAATTCTCTGGATCTATCACACGATAGGTTCCAAGCAGTTCTTTTCGCTCCTTCTCCAATCATAAGGTCGCTTTTAAGAACAAGAGGGGTTATCCCGAAAAATGCTGTTTTGGGAAAATCGAAGGTAAATTTTTTGGACCCTTTTTCAGTTTCTTTAAAAGACAAGGAAAGTTTTCTCTATAACTAAACAAATCTACACACCAATGAAACCAAACTTCTCCAAAAAGGAGGGCAGTGCCCACTTTTGGTGAAGGTCATGATTTCTGGAAACCCCCCGAAATCTGGGTTTGCCCGCTTGTCCTTAAAAGCGACCATTATAATATGATATTGAGCTGTTCAAAAAGACAGACAAAAGAACCATGTAGCCATTTTAGCACGAGTTCTTTTAAGAAACTTTTCATTTAATTTTACACTTTGAAAGCATTTTTGTAAAGTGCAGCATGGAATGGTATGACTGAGTCCGTGCATGTTGTCCTTTTTTATGAACTCACGAACTAATTTTTATTGTTTCATCTACACACACTTGTTTATTTTTTTAACCGAGATTTACTTTTCATATATCTCTGCAAGTAATAACACTGTCATAATTAATATAAGATTTTGAAATGTTTGAATAAGCTAAATGATGATGAATCATTTTTCACTGTTCACAACAATGTATACTATTATTTAAATGCCACTGAAAACTGAACATTTACGTATTTATGTCTTTTCTGCAAACTGAAATGTCAACCCCGGTCACTGATCAGCTCAGATAAACAAGTAACTACAGTGTCGCAATGTTCCTGCTCTGTCATTGTCAGACGATCAAACCTGACTGCAGTGTAATTATGTGCTGTGATTTGATGGAATAAAAAGCTCTTTGAATATCAACTTGTACCTGATGTAGGGGAACATAAAGAATAAGTAGAAAAGAACTGAAAAAGTAAAAATGTAAGGAAAAAACAACAGAAAACAAGTGAAAAGGAACATACACAAGCAAGTTTAATTAACAATTATTTGTTTTTGTCTATTAGGAGGTTCCTGATAATACCCGCACCCCAAACCCTCCCAAACTGATATTTTCAACACATTTCCTGGAGATAAGATAGCATAGACCCCTTTCTCGCCTTTTATCTTTGCAGTAAATATAACAGAGAACATATTTCCACAGAGTCAGGACATCGAATTATTTTTAATTAATTTTAGAGTCTCTATTGATTAACAGTATACAGCAGTTAAAAGCAGAATAACGTTTCAGATTGTCTGATGTGATTACTCAAGCCATCAACATTTTGCTTTAAAAGCGGCACATTTGTTTGTCAATAATAGTATTCGAGGCAAACTGTTCCGAAAAACGTATTTTTTTGTTATAATTGGTCGCTTTTACACACAAGAGGACTATCCAGAAAAACGCTGTTTTGAAAAAATCGAAGGTAAAGTTTTTGCCCCTTGTTCAGTTTTTTTAACGTACAAGGAGAGTTATCTCTATAACCAAACAAATATACACACCAATGAAACCAAACTTCTCCTATGAGTAGGGCAATACCCATTTTTGGTGTAGGTCAAGATTTCTGGAAACCCCCAAAATCTGGGTTAGCCAACTTGTCCTGAAAAGCGACCATGTTTTGTTATACTGAAGTACAGTGTCAATAGATTTGCACCATTGAAGACAAAAGTATGAACTGTGTTCTTGTTGTACGTCTTATGAGTGATTTTAAGAGACATTAAAATTAGAAGTAATTTAGATTTGTGGATAGATTGAATGGTGGCTGTAGAATCCGGACATGACTGTAAAATACCTTATTCGGTCACTTTTAAGGACAAGCAGGTGACCCAGATTTCGGGGGCTTTCAGAATTCATGACCTACACCAAAAGTGGGCATTGCCCTACCTGATAGGAGAAGTTTGGTTACATTGGTGTCTATATTTGTTCGGTTATAGGGAAACTCTCCTTGTCTTTTAATGAAACTGAACAAGGTGCAAAAACTCTACTTTCGATTTCTTCAAAACAGCATTTTTCGGGACAGCCCCCTTGGGCGTAAAAATGACCATTTTATAATATTATAAGTCTTTGCTTTTCCACTCTCTAAGTTATGTGAATACAAAATGCTACAACAGCTTAGCCATTTGGTCAGCAATGTATGTCATGTTTAGATTTCAACAACTGACCAGAAAAAGTCATAGGGTTATGATGTCACCAGCGAGAAGGATGTGAATAATAATGTGTGTCACGGCGTGGTGGAATGGGGTGCTGGTCCACTTTTTGGGAATGTAGAGTTATTGGTATAGTTTTAAAGCTTGTTTATTTGTCTATACTTCAATGAAAAAAAA